GGTGAAATTTATGTAGAAGTAGTGTACTCGATGAGTTCGAATTTTGAACCCTTACTATAAGATGTTTTTTAAGTTATTACATAGGGTGGTAGATGAGATTGGCCAATCCCGCCCAACTGGATAATTGGAGAATGGCTGGAGCATGTCAAGTTCAGGAGTAGTCTAGTGTACCCACCCACCCACACACACACACACACACACACAAATCTCTATATTATACCGTCATTTATAATTTTGTAAGTGTTTTTATAATTTTTGTTGGTGTTTTTATTATTTTTATAGTGACTATTTTTACTACTTTGATGGTACTTGCAATCAATCCTAGCATTAGTGGATTTGAATTTGTTTTTAATGAATTTTAATGATAAATAGGTGGACTTACCCTAACTTGTTTATCATTTGATTACCCGTTTAATAAATTCATATATTACTCGATTATCCATTTACCACACAACATGGTTTATCACATGACTATCCCACTTATCACTCGATTAATTGATGACCTAATTTGTTACAAATTTATGACTTTTAATTAAGAATTTTTTTTTTGTTGTAGAATTAGCAGGGTAACACTAGTTGTATTGTATACTCATTTAATAAACGAATCATGATCAATTTAATAAATTGAGTCATACATACTAAGTTATTTTTGACACGAATCACCCGACCTAACACGATTGTCTGATCTAGTTGTGAGTCCACAGGGGTATGCCAAATGACGATGCTTGGACTTGGTGAAACTTGTGCTAAGTAGTCGATGAGTCTAAATTTTGAATCCTTCTGGCATGTTTGGAATGTTTGGGGGTGGGGGAATTTGATTGATTTTATCAAACTCTTTCAAATTTAACCCCGGTCTTTGTGTACATAAAATTCATAATTGAATTATATTCATACCCATATTAGTTAGTAATATATACACATATGAGACCAATGAATTAATTATAATTATAACTGAGTCTTTGTCATGTAATTGATTAAATTGTCCATTGACTATGTATGTGAGATATTTTATTACGAATAAAAGAGTCATTTGACATAGTTAATCTAGACTAACATTTGACATCTACTCCCCTTGGATTTGCCCAATTCTCATGTGTATGAGTTTAATACTCCAGGCCATTTACGACTTACAATATGAATTTTAAATTTAAAAGTCTTAATCAAATATGCGAATAAAGAGTCTATCGAACTATTTTACTTAAACTTACCTTTCAAAACCCGTCCAAACGGACCAAACCCATCAAAAAAATTATAAAAAAAATTCCCTTACAGAACAATTTTTTTAAGCCCTTACAATGTTACATTGGGTGGTAGATGAAGTTGGCCAGGTTCATGCAACAAGCCAACAACTGGATAATTGTAGAATGTATGGAGCATATGAGGTTAAGTCTTCTTTAAATGAAGTCACAGAGACTGCTGTAAATCGCATAGCTGTTAAGAATATATCATGTCATTATCCTTTCCATTATGGTCCCCAACCAAACTGTTATATGCTTTTGGTGATTACTTCCGTACCGTACGGAAAGGTGTATGTTTCATCTTTCACATTTCTGTATATAGCTCTTAGTTCACGTGAAACACGGAAATTTGCATTTGGGTTCAAATTTGATTCCACTTTATATGAATTTGACTATGGTACCGAGGTTAACGGTCACAGTGTCTTGATTAATTTATGTATATTTTGATTATTTTTTTTGTTTTTCGATTAAAAATAAGTCATCTACGTTGATATTAAAATATTTATGAAAAATAAATTAATCATAGCCTAATCTCTAAGGAATTGTTAAGATTCGAACTCAAAGTGTCTAGATTTATAATTTATTTATGTTACCACTTGAGCTATCCCTTTAAATTAAAAAACAAATTTAGTAACACACTTTCAAATTTTACTATTTTAATGGGTATATTTATATTTTTTATGGGTCATTTTATAATCCATTTTTTTTTTTTTGGTGTTTTTATCATTTTTGTGGTACTAATGATCGATTGTAAAATTGTTAGGATCAATCACAAGTATCACAAAAGCGATAAAAAATACCAACAAACGTGATAAATGGTGGTATGATACTAATTTTTTTTTCCCGATATCATAGAATTGTCCCAATTTATATAACACAAGTTCAAATTTTAATTTTTTAGGGGTGGTTCAGTACTTGAGTTAAACTTTTGATAACTCAAAAGTCTCAAGTTCAATCTCTTCCTACTCCTCTCCTCTTAAGGGCCAGTCAAAGTCAAAATCACGGTGGTAGTTGTTGAGCTCAGGAAATAATCTGTGCAAGTTTGGACATCTTATATAGAAAAAAAAAGAGTCTAAATTCTAACAGCACACAAAGTGAAAGGAGATGAGTTTTTTATTTTTTTGGAAGGATTTGTAGTACACCAACCAAAAGAGGCTTACTTTCTTGGTGGGAGCGGGAAAGGTCTGCTCTTGTGCCATCAGCGAGCAGTTACAGAAAAAACAACAGAGCCGATGTGGGAATGGAGCCCCAAATTAACACTTTCTCACCAACCTTTTTCTCATCAGACATATAGTTTAGGCAATGTAGCTGTAGGCTGTAGCCCTCCATGTGTTCAACACACACATTAATTTGCCTGCTTCCAACTGAAGGAAAATTTTTTATTTAATAGAATTCCTTGTTCATTCCCATCCCTCCTTCGCAATTAGGGTTTTAGGATTTGATTTTTAAGTCACTTCGGACCACTAGAGTTTCTTATTTTATATTGGGTTGCAAAATTATCTTGTTGTTTTGGTATTTTCAATGATTTTTGAAAAAAAAAAAAACTTTTTCTGTTCTTTTCAATTGAGCTTTGGTGTTCTAGAAATTAAGTCATCGAAGAATTAATCATAATTTGATAACAATTTAGTGCAATTTTATCGTGTTATCTCATTTTTTTGTTAAATTTTTTTTCCATGCGGTATGTTAGTAGTGACATGGTCCAATAGTATTATTCTGACTGCTGAAATTTTTTCATTGAGATTCTATCACTTATCACATACCACGTGAACAAATTAGGTTTTTTTTTAGATCCTAATAGTATTTGGTATTCCTCTTTTTTAATTCAATTAGGCAAAACTAAAGTGCATTAGAAATCATATAGTATTGATGAGATTGAAAGGAATCGCACAGGGAACAATGATATAATTTGGGGAGACAGGTTGCTAGTTATATCATGCATGTATGAGAGAGAGAGAGAGAGAGAGAGAGAGAGAGAGAGAGAGAGAGAGAGATGTGTTCTTGGTCATGTCTCTATCATTTTGCATGCTCATGTGTTCAAGAGCCCAACGTCTCTCTACTGTGTTGCTTGTAATATTGTAAAGAAAAATCTAAGAGTATATACATGATTGATTAACAAGCAAACAAAAAAGGGGAAGCTGCGCCGAACCTGCGTAGATCAAACTTATTTGCGAATGACACCAACCTCTGCCTGTCTATCCCTACTCCCACCCCTTTCAACGTCTTCCTCTCTCTTCTTTTCTCTTTTGTTCCACTCTCCTAGATTACCAATGCATCCCTCGTAATTGTACAACACACATTTTTGTCGGATATCATGGAGGGGCGGAGTCAAAATTTTATTTTTAAGGGGCTAAATTTGATGTACAAAAATTTCAACTAATAAAAATTCAAATTTATATCATACAAAATAATATAATTACTGCAAACAATCAAAGAAATTGCACACTTAGAGATGATTACTAACTATGAGGAAAAAAATATTAATCAACTGCGAACTAATATTATGACTCAAATATGAAAAAAAAAACCTTAATATATCATATATTTACAATCAAGTATTATTTGATTGAGCCCTATATCTGAGAGTTCCAAATGGGACTCATTGATCTAAGGGTCATCGCTACTCATTGGAATCCCTATCATAGCCCAACAATTTTTCTTTGGGTCAGAAATGTTTACATAGATCATAAAACTAAAGAGAGACCACCCTTTGAAGGTTAAGTCTTTTTTGAGCTGATGTATGAACTTAGACTTATTAGTCTTCTTATACTCTTATAAGTGTGGTATGATGTTGAATAAAATATGTTTATGCATATAACTACTACTAGTTAATAATAAAATTAAGTTTTCCTTCATTGCAATCTGCTCATGCTCACTGTGGCTTCAATCTACAACTACATCAAAGGAAAAAATATTTGTTGCAACAGAAATACCATGTCAGTATTGTTACGTGATATTACTAATTAATAATATATAGACAAATACAGAAGTAAACTCCATATAAGCTAAAAGTAATGGTAGATGGACTTAAAAAATAAACTTAAAAACTAGATTTGATAATCTCAACCATTGAATAAGTAGTGAGTCCTAATAAATGCTACGACCTATAGTGAAATCAATGATTGAGATTATCAAGTTTAGTTTTTAAATCTACTTTTTAAGTCCATGTAACATTGCTCATAAGTTAATAAGTAATGCTAGACTGACCAAATTTTAGGACCAAATTTGAAACTCAAATGACATAACAGTTGATTATTTGTAATTTTTATTGGGGCCTTCTTTGATTGGTGTTATGTCATTTGAGCCCCAATAAAAACTACAAATAATCAACTGTCATGTCATTTGGGTTTCAAATTTAATCCTAAAATTTGATCAATCTAATATTACTAAGTTAATAACTACCCTAAATAAATAACTATCCACTCTTTATTTATGTAAACTAACAACTATTCAAGTTGGGTTGCTCATTTTTTGGTTTTATTACTTGGTTGATTCTCTCTCCATTGAAGAGCTTGAGATAGAAAGGACCATAATCAATGGGCAGTCTGGTAAATTCAAATAATTTGTCTGCTACTACTCTCCCATCTCTTCCGAGCTACACCTCTACAAGTAGTTGTGTCGTCTTCTCCACATGTGTCTCTATCCTACCTTAGTCTGCATATATTCCTCTTCAGAGCAAGCAAACCCTGCCCAGTGCTCATTGATCTTACCAACCTATCTCTTTCTCTCCACCCAACTCCAACAGAATACGTAGAATAATTAACCATGGCCGCCGAGCAACAAATCTCACATGCTTATTATAATGACACTGATGAAGAAGATGAGGATGATGATGAAAAAGAAGAGGAGGAGGAAGAAGAGAACTCCGATGAATGCAAAAGCATGCACGGCACATGCCGTACTCGTCGAGGAGGGTGGTTCATGGGTAAGGTTTTGGACCCAAGAGCTACATGGGTTCAAGAATGGAATAGGGTGTTCCTGCTAGTATGCGCCGCTGGTCTCTTCGTCGACCCTCTCTTCTTCTACGCACTCTCCATAAGCGACACTTGTATGTGCCTATTCGTAGACGGGTGGTTTGCTGTCACCGTAACGGTTCTTCGGTGCATGATCGACGCCTTACACGTGTGGAACATGTGGTTGCAGCTCAAAATGAACAGGCGGCCTCCGGCAGCCGTGGGTGGCGGCGAAAGAAACCGGTCACATAACTCCAGTGGTTGGGTCCTCCTGCCACTTCGATACTTGATGGCCAAGAAGGGGTTCCTTTTTGATCTCTTTATCATCCTCCCTCTCCCACAGGTGAGTTCCATTTAAGAGATAATGTTATCATTTGAGTCGGGTTTGTCGAATTTGGATATATTCAAACTTAGTTTTGATAGTGGCTGATCAAACTTAGTTCGAGTCAAATACAACAATCGAACTTCAATTCTTATTTAAACTCACAGCTCGACGAAACCTCAAAACCTCCCAAACATTAAAACTCAGCTGGGACCAAGTAAAACGAGATCAATTTATTATTCAAAAAGTTGAACCATAAAACTCCAATCAATCCTAACATGAATTTTCTTTTAAAATCTATCAAAAATTGAATAAAAAAAGAGAACTTTGTATGATCTGAAACTATTTAGGGATGAGTAGAAGTTTTTTCATCTCCAAATTTGAAGTGTTTGATTAAAATATTAGAATAATTTATGATTTTTTAGACACATAGATATATTCAATTCAAGCTGTACTTCTAAGTCAGATGCTGCTTAGATTCGACTCGTTTACAAACTGAACTTAGATTAATTTAGATTGAACCAACACCAACCAAACCCAAACAAAGCTAGAGTCATTTAACACTTCCAAACTTTTGATCATCATTATAAGAAGCATATTATCCTGACTGATAGTGTATCAGCCAGCGATGCTGCTATTGTTGAGGGTTTTTTTGTTCACTAGTGTTCTCAACAGAACATACGACAAATACATGCATGTCACCACTTGGGTTATACATGCAGTGATCACCTCACAGTTTGCCGAAAGAACATGTGATGGAATTGTCTTTTTTTTTTTTACTGTGTAGAAAGGTACAACGGGGAAAAAAATCTTATGGACTGCCTTTGCCAGTTGAATCGATTTGGTAGTGGATCTAGTTCTATACGTACAGCCTAGTGTCTTTCGACATAAACCAGTGGGTTTACAGGCTGTGAACTAGTTGGTTCACAGGCAGCCATTCTACATTGGGGTCCCGTTGATTCTTTTTCCGTTCTCTTGTTTTTAGGAGGATCGATTCTCTCGAGTCTGCGACAAAATTTTTAAAAGGTGTTATTGACAAATGTAGTATTTGTCTTTGATTGATAAAGTTTTATTTCACGTAATCTTGGATAGTTCGATAAGACAGAAAGATGAATATACTTTTTACCAATATGTTCTTTTATTTGAAACATCAGCAAGTTGATTGGCCTTATTAGGAATTCCCATCTCTACTCTTTTAAGCGGAACCTCCTTAGCGATTATAAGGTTACCATGAAGTAGATCCTGAGCTGTCATTTAAGCACGGATATTTTCGTTTAAAAGAATATTTTTGGTGTAAAACTTAATTTTGAATTCAAGATTTTCCTGTTTGGACTTGAAATATGAATCTCAGGAATTTGCAATGTATTGATATCTGACAAGTTGGATGTAATAAGAAGATGTTACGTGACAGGAGATGATCAACCACAATCATATTTAAAATAGGAATAACTTTATGAACGTTACTATTTAGTAACCATCGATGGAAGCTGAAACCATTGATAATAGTGGCTATAAAAAGGCACGTAGTGGAGAACATATTTAAACTCCCACAAGACCCACGATCTGACCTTTTTTAGGAATAGTATTATATTAGTTTTAAGAAACAATCATTACTGCAACCAAGGTTGTTATTACAGTATTTTCTATAGCCAAAGTTATTTCGACTGAATTATTAAAAGAATCCTCTTTTACTAGTTCCATGTCTATGTGTTCTTGTCTATTAAAATTCATCCAAGGAAGTCCTAAAATAAGGCATTAGAACCCCTCTCACAAACAATCGCCTGAGAACTATTTATCAATTGGATTCCTTCTGTTGATAACAACAGATTTTGGAGTAATAATCTTTTGACATGCCCAATGGGACGACATAACTAACTTGGATCAAGAAAATGATTCGAACAAGGAAATAAGACGAGATTGTGTTTGGTACTACTAAAAAAATGGAACAATTTCCAATCAATGGCAATCATAAAGCATGTTTGAGTATCAATTGTGTGGAAACTACAAATCTAGGAAGTGGCTAGAATAATCTGCAGATGCAAGAGTTTGTGCAAAATCTGACGTAAGTATTCCATAATCCTATTAGACAAGATTTATTTAATGTCATGCATGAGTTAATAAGTGTCCAGACACCAATATTAGGACCAATTAATAAAACGTCGACCATTGTGGTTAGAAATCAAACACTAGAAGAAGGAAACACCAGTCCTGTGGTGTTTCATATAGAAAACCAAAGACCACCATCGATGGTTACTAATGAATGACTAGACCTACCACATCAAAACCATTTTAACATGGTGTTTGATGGAGAATCTGTCAAAATGATCCCTAATTTCTTCTCAGGAAGGAATCCTAAGGGAAGAAATGGGGTAAGAATTGCCTAAGTTTCCTAGAAAGGTATGCGAAGGCATGTCATGCCTTGAATGGAACCTATAGACGAATTTAACCCAAGGGCAGGGGGGGAAACCTTTGACCAGTTTGAAAACCTAGAAGGCCATCAAAACATGACTATTAATAGGAATTAACTTGTAAAGATGATTCAAGATTTGTATGGCCCTAGCCTTAGAAAAACTGAGAGGTATGTGTTCAGAAAATCATATCTAACATGGATTGACTATAAGGAATTCCGAAGGGGATATAAGGTCCCATAATTCCATCTTTACTCTAGTGAAGAGAATCAATCACAATAGGACACATAAGCAAATTTACTTTTCAATATGGGGAAGTTGGGAACAATGAGAATCTAAAAATGAAATTATCCCCACAATCTTTAACAAAAACAACATTTACTTGCTTCATAAACTTGCCTGACAATTCAATTTAAACCTGACAAGAAATGGAAGAGTAGTTTCATACTCAATTCTTTAGGAATGAATTAGAATTTTCAATGACAGACCTGTTAAGATTAAGATAGAAATCGAATGAATCCATAGAACAATACATCGACAGATTCAAGAAAGGAAAAAAATGTCATGTTTACTTGCCTGAAGTTGAATTGGTAAAATTAGCCCAAAATGGATTGCACTTCAAATTATGGAAGAAAATGTTGCTTAAGAAAGACCAACAAAGGAAAAATAATTCATTTGGAACTTATTTTCAGGACTTTGATTGAGAAGTTGAGATAGATGTGACACAAGTCACAGGAAAGTCACCAATCATGTGTGACACCTTGCAAAAGATTGAGGACCTTGTGAATATGCCATCAGTCATCATTTGAAAAAAGATGCACCCTTAAACTTTAGGCAATATTTCTTTGATCTATCAATGACTGATGTTTTGTTTGATGAGATGATCAACAAAAAATTCATTGTCTTGTCTCAAGAACATAATATCGCACCAGAGAAAGATAGAAAAGGAACATAATATTATAAATGACATAATTCATTTAGGCATTCAACTAAAAATTGCATAATTTGTAAAAATTGTGTGCAGGATTTAATCCAAAAAGGAATGCTAAAGTATGCCAGAAAAGAAGAAGAAACCATGTGTGTAGATAAAGACCTATTCCTTAAAGAAGTTAATATTAATATAATTTATGCTAATTTTTAGGAAGACAAGAAGGTTGCTAGTTTAGTGGTTGACAAAGAAAGGATTGTCCCTAAGTTGAGCATACTAGTTCATAACATGTTGGGTCCTAGAGAAGAAGAACTACTAGTTATGTGCTTCAAATGTGCAAAAGAGATAGTTAAGCTAGATGCAATACTACTAGATGATGTGGTAAGAGAATTCACTAATAAAGGTCTCTAGTTCAGCACTAGAGGTGAAATAGATGTGCAGATCTATAATTGGTTTGAGAAAATATTTGAAAGTGCAGACCCAAGCATATTTAAGATGTAGGAAAAGTATTAGCATGGTCCCCATTATTTTCCTGAAATCAAAAGGGATCCAAGAAGCACTGGTGACCAAGGCCAAGCCAAGAAAGAAAGATTGCAAAGAATGGACTATTTTGATGAACCATCGATGGCCAAGGAAAGTGTTTGACAGAGAATCAAAAGACAAGAACGCTAGGAGAAACAAAATCAGAAGAGGAAATGGAGATTTGAAATCATCACAAAGGTTAGATCTAGAATAGTGAATCTCCTTGAAGTTCATGATGAAGAGTGGCACCATGTTCACCAACCAAAGTTCTTATCTAGGGCATGGTACTATCCACTCAATAGAACCCAAAAAAGGAGAAAATAAAGGAAGTTTGCCACTTGGATGATCAGGTAAAATCCTACTCCTCTTGAAGCCTATTCAGGGTTAAGTCTATCGATGGAAAAGAAAAATCCCACATGGACAAGAGAATAGCAAAAGGAAATTAAAGAATTTCAAACCAAGTAGGATATCCTTGATCGGAAAATTCCTAAGTTCAAGCAGATACTGGACCTATCTAAAGGAGAACCAAAGAAGATGCTAGAAAACCCATCAGCAAAATGGAAAGAAAAAATGAAAGAAGACAAATATATGATTTCGGATTAGGAGCTTATGGATTTTGAAGATATATGACCTCTTCTCAGAGATGTAGTATGCAACATGATGTTGGCTCTACCTAAAGAATTCAAAGCTAAGTCATGACAACCAAACCAACTAGCATGAGGTAAAAGATAGTATTAAATCAGTAGCAATCTTTGCTAAAACTATAAAGGAAATTATACATAATGGAAGGTCTATAAACATAGAACAAGGGGACTGAGGGGTAGATATAATGGTGTTTGCACTCCCCATAAAATAATTAGTCAAACATCTGAGACCATTGTACATACAAGCCCACATCAATGGTCAGCCAATTAGTAAAATTTTAGTTGACTATGGGACAATGGTCAACATCATATCTTTAAGGACATTAAAAGTTATGAACAGATGAGAGGAATACCAGCTTCACATTGACATCATAGTCAGTAATTATGGGGGATGATCATCCTCTACAAAGGGATCTTGCCTGTACAACCATAAGTTGGCAGCAAAAAGACCACAACAACATTCTTTGTGGTAGATTTCTCATCCAACTTCAATGCTCTTCTAGGAAGAGATTGGATACACACTAACGACTATGTACCATCATCCCTACATTAGGCACTAATCTTCCAGTCAAAAAGTGATGATGAAGAAAGAAAAGAGATGGAAGTGTATTAGACAAATACCAATCATTTATATGTAGATGCATATAATGTGGAGTCTCAATTCTATGACAAGAATCTAACTTGAATTGGGAAAAGTGGCTGCAAGAACCAATTTAATAAGTGTTTTGAAGGGAGCTTACATCACATTTTCCATGACTTGGCTAGATTTGGATTTTTACAGCCTAAATCAGAAAATGGGGAGTCCATAGAAGTTCACCAATATGACCTACAACAATTTTTGAAGTGGCAAGCGGCTGCCATTAAATTCATGTTAGCAAGCACATCTAGATATACCTTAGTGGAAAGTAAAGACATTAGTTGTTGCCTCTATCGATTGGACTAAGATATTGAAAGTTGGTCCAAAAGGCAAGAACAAGGGTACTAGAGAAGATGACCAAGTAAGTTGGATATCTGATGGGAGGTTGTACACCAAAAGGTTTTTCAAGAGGACATGAGGATATTTGATGGAGCATCCAAGCATGGATGCCACGAGAAATTAGAGATAAGTCATTTAGTACTTAAGTAAGATGATTGAACAGTTTTAAGTGTATTTCCACTATAATAGAAATTTTTTTGTTTGATTTGTATCTTTTAAGCCATGGAATGAAAACTCTAATTTATGCCCATTCATTATGTACAACCATTGTTTGATGATTTCAATAATACTTTCATGTAATGAATGAGGTTATGGGCTATACATAAAAGGATGTAGCTAGGATACATTTGTATAAAGCCACCAAGACTAC